TTAACAAGCCTCTGTAAAGAAAAAGACTTTAACTGATATTAATGAAAGAACATCATTGGAAAGGTCGTTGCTTGTAGAAGTTAACTAGCGTGAAATTGACTGGCACAGCCATGAATTCCTAACCAAGTATCTAGAATTGTAATACTATTTTACCTCGTTGGTCCTAGCTTATGTTATTGTGCACAGTAAAGATAGCATCCAAGACCTCAGCGCATTTTCCTACCGTTCTACTTATCCTTCCAAAATGCATTTACTCCATCTGTACCGGCTCTACTCAAAGGGAGTATGAAGGTTTCACGAAAGACAACGGAATTCGGCCACAATGATAGTAAGTAGTACAGCAGCTCTATACCGTCTTCCTAGTTAAGTCCCAATCGCGCTCCTCCGGCTCCGATAGAGGAAGGCATCCCGCAACGAAACACTTTCACTGCATTTATGCAGACTACCTGCGTTTTGTCTCACTGGAAGCATACTTCAGTAATGCTGCGAGATAAAGTCGACTAAAAGAAAACGCTTCAAACTATCGCCCGAAGAATCACGCACCTTTATTCATCAAATTAATGAAAAAATGCAAAGGACAGCGGTTCCATTTCCTGCTTTCAAGAAAACTCGTAAGCAAGTCGTAGCATATTTATTCAACTATCTTTCAACCGATTTGTGCCTACCGGATGTACGTCATGATCGGTTGATTTTCACTGTCTAATCAGACGTAATTTCCCCCATACTCTGCTGATTTTATCTTGTCCCAAAAATAGGATCAAACTCCTAATCATTCTGTAGGTTAAACACTAACACATACTTGTCTATGTAAGTGCTCATGAAAATGCTGTTCCACATCCAAAAAGGACTTGTGTATTTACTAGACATATGTACTCACATACATAGGGAACAATCAAAATCACCTCGTAAAGCATTCATTTGTAATAACCTAGCCCTTGGCGTATAAATATACCCTTATTATTGTCATTATTATGCTGTTTAAATGTGGTTTCCTGGTGCAATCTTGCAATATGTGCAGAAAACTGCTTGCACGAAATGTTTAAAGAAAACTATCCCATCTGTTAATTTACATTGTTTAACAACGTGGAGAATGCACACAGATACATTGCTCACGCTACAATATATGCGAATATTTGCATCGAATGTCTACTTACTGTGACTTCACAGCAGTTATGTGTAAGTTCACTACATCAGGATGGTATATCAGTTGCCGCACAGAGCTTTGAATAATTAACTAGTTTCCACATCAAATGGTCTGTTCAGCTCATTGCTGGCTTAAACGCCAGAATAAGATGTGTCTCTCGTGTATGCCGTGAACATTTACGCAACGCTCTTTATCCTCTATTGCGTAAACGCGTTCGACTACCATAAGCAATTGTTGAACTCAATTTCACAATAAATTTTCAGCGATGGTATTCCGGTATAAACTGGAAGTATGTTAAAATTGTCCACTGTTTCATTTAGTCGCCACAATTAAGAAATGTTTACATTTGGAGTTAACTTATCAGTTCCACTAAATAAATGTTACAGCCTAGGGACTGAAGCATTTTCTGCAGCTGTATGAAGCGTTGTCTAGTTGGCCACCGAGCAGCGAGTACGCAAGCGGCTGGTTTAGAGCTAGAATGATAGATACAGATAAAGTGTTCAGTGTCAGCGAAGTGGAGGATTGTAGGCTTTTTACGAAATGAGCTGCAGCAAAATAAGAATGTGGTAATACCGATACCCGATACCGGGTAGCAATATTTGAAAAACAAGACCAAATGAAGGAATGAAAAACTGTTATTGCTTGATCTAACCGTTGCATTCATGATGAAGCAGACCGCGACGAATCCGAACAAGTGGATAATGCAATAGTTAGTGGACTGAAGAAGCTCCTGCAGTCAAGACTTGTTGATGCAAAGCTTTGGAACAGTTTCGCCCTCGGGGCCCTCGAGGTTCTCACAGGTATGTTCTACCAAAAGCGCCAATGAAAATACCGTCCTATGTCCAGTAGTTTCACTGGTAGTCGCACAGTAATAAAGTGCCTCATGTCTAACAAATTTTCTCGAGTTTATCTGGAAATATCCTCCCGGATACAGCCTGAGAGATACTCCAGAATTTGTTGAAAATTTTAGCATTTTAACCCGTGGAAAAAGTTGCGGGATCAATTTTGATACCTCCCCATTATCCACAAAGATCGTAGGACATAGTGGCGAGACATGTCGATTATTTGGGTTCCCAAAGCTCCAACTCAAGCGCTACTCCGCCTATACCAAATATATTCATTTCCGATACAATGGAACCCTGTATCGACGGATCGACGGCTTTGCCATGGGTAGTACATTAAGCAGATTTTCGGCTGCAGATTATCCGCAAAATCTGGTAAGAAGTTAGACGACAGTTTGTCTTCTTTGACAACACTAATCAATCGTTTTATCTACTAAAAATGAGGAACATTTGCCATCCTGCGACCACGCTGACGATAGAAACCGAAATTAAAGGATCCTTTTATTTCTGAAATACTACCTTACGCATGGAGACAAACATCGCAATAGTTTAGTCTGTATACATATTTATTTAACTTTTCTCTCCGGGTGAAATTGACAGTGAACCCGAGCGCGTCAAGTCACCAACATACACTGAGCGATTCATAACAATTTACGCAAAATGGCAACCCAGAATTGTAATTATTAAGCTACCGCTTAAAGGGGATCATGTTGACTGGAGATATCGTTGTCGTCTCAGCCAATCTGTTAACAACTGATGCTACGCGGCTGCGCCAGTGGTATTTTAGCAAGTCAGAAATTTTCTGTGCAGATCCAAGCCACACTCAAAAGACCGCGTTACACATCCGCGCTTTTAACTGTACGTGCGGGTTCAAGTACACTGTCAGATCTGAGAGAAGGCTAACAGCAATGAATGCAGAGCAAATCCAGCGTTGCATGGTTGCAAGTAGCCAACCGAACCCACTTACACCATTATCCAATGCTCTGTGTGCCGGAATCCAGGTGTACCGTTGCAGTTAATTACCAAACAAAGCAACCCATGCTTACTTCATTGCATTCATCCTCAGCTAGTCCGCATTTAAAACCAAGATTGTCTAGAGAGAGAGATTCCTTGTTCAATCTAGTCCTTTTCTGGTCAGGTCAGTGATCGTTTTGTCATCTGGCCGGAGTTAGGTATAAACAGTGGCCTTCAGCTGAGTTAACTTTCATTATAACATCGCACTTTGATTGTTTTATATAGGCATCCCATTTATTCCACAAATTTCTGTACATGGATTAAGTGAAAACGAAAAAGATCCGGGTGCAGTCTATCCTGTGAAAGCTAGCTACGTTTTGTGACACTAATTCGTATTACAACCTGAAGGTGCCCTTTTTTACTTGATCATATCTAACCTTGGTTATTCTCTTAGCTCCTTTTATATCCACCTAATAAAAACCGTTATATTCCTCTCATTATCCTGCCACTATTAGGAGAATTCTATGGTTTGTTACTCAATGACGTTGCGACATTTGCATATTCATACTGCTTTAGTAATGCCATGTTTCCCTAAATTATGTCCAACGCCTAAATTTCACTCCCGAATTCATTTCAATTTTGCGCATCATCATGTGCCGACTGGGAACGAGGAGCTTTATTCTTATTCTTCGCTTGATCTGCTTACTAGCATACCTGTTCCCAAAGCTAGCATTAAAACATCCAAAGAGATTAATCAGTTTTCTCTACAACCATTTTTAGTGTGCACATAAAAAGTGGTTTCTTAGACACTTTCCAAACTGATGGCGTGCTCTATGCTACTTATTAATATACCTGTTGCGTAGGAGTGATTAGAATAAAATGTATTTTATTGCTTTTTAAGCATATTTTCCTTCGTTGGAAAAAATGAACACAAAAGAAATGCCCTACTGTTAATTTTCTGCGTCAGGTTCTGTTACGATACATACCGAAATTCCGCGAATATTTTCCAGCGTAAGCTATATAATATTTATATTATTCTTAAGTATATTGTGATCTGCGGAGGAACGCCTGCATTCCCAGTACAGTATGGTTTGTTCACAAAGAGGTCCTATGATGATATCGTCTGTGGTTTTATAGCGCTAGATCACATAAACTCAATTGCAGCAGTGCATGCAATGTAGGATAAGCAGTGCCATCATTTGTTTTCCTTTTTTACAAGTTGTTCGTCAAACCATTTGATAATCAGTCCATATATTCTGTACTTTCCTCACTGCTTAATAGCCATCATCTCCTCCCTCTAACTTGTCTGACAAGTAACCATAGCCATAGCTTTGGTGGATCAAGTTGTTATAACTATGTCTCGATAAGGGAGGACATAGTTTGGAGAATTAGTACACTAACCGGAGGTCACGTGCTATGCAGCGTTGACTTACGTAAACCATGGTTTGTCTGTTTTCCGCTTCCTAAAGTTCACCACCATGGTGCTAGGGCACACTAAACACTACTCATTGAATATCATTTTGAACAGAAATCCGTGAATTTATTGCGTTGGTACACCTTCATCCAAGACTCTTGACAAGTGCTTCGTAGTGTGCACAAATGCATTTTGCCACTTGCTTCGCATTGATGATGGAGGACTGGAATGTGCACCACTACCGTGAATGCTGCTGAATTTAGTTTCTTAAGCACTTGCACGCCAAGATTCTTTATGGCACTGTGTCTTCAGTTGTAGCACCGCCTACACTACGACCTACGTGCGATTAGATAGCGATACAAACCCTATATTATGATTTCGATTTACTTTATAGCGGACCTCGGTTATTAGCATCACCAACCATAGACCAGAAGTGATAGATTCTCTGTGTTGCAACTCCTTGCAACGTCTCAAGTACTAGGCAAGTCTGTGCAGAGAATATATTCCGGTAACATATCACGGTTTAATCGGCATACGGCGCGAAAAAATGCCTATCAATATTTGTAGCAGAAAACACTCGCGCCACCCTACACGTGGCCACATAAGAAAGAACCAACCAATTGGAGCTGAAGCAATAAAAAAGAAATTTTGTTGACAAACTTGCAGAATTTATTAGAGGAATAATTCAGTTGCTCTCAAATATCCATCGGACACGCTTCTTGGTTCGCTCCATTGACTTTGTTGAAAATACCGTTAACGCGAACCTGCAAAATTTAGACGCATCGGGTGATAAAACAATGGCACCAAAAACAACATATATTTCTACGTATTCTCAACGGTTGATCATTCGGACTTCAACTAGCAGCAATCCGTGTTTCTAGTCAACAGCTTGTGCGTTCATTTGAAGTAATCGTATGGAAACAGATCCTCAGTCAAATCAAACACTGAGACCGTAACTGATGAACCTGTCAGGAGTTGCCATCACGAAAACACCACTACATTCAATGACAGGGTTCAAACTAATTTATCCCATCAAGTAGAGATCGAAGGGACTCAAAATCGGAGCCCATTGGATGTCAGTCAAGGCTAAAACCACTTTAGCCACAGGGTGAAGACGGGCAACATTTGTCACAGAGGTTAATGACTGACTAGAGGGCCATTTTTAACCATTGGTTGCGTGAATGTATTGTGATTCAAAATCAGGTGAACAATACCCAATATTCATTTGCTAAACCAGTAGGATTTAGACTGGCTTTTAGATTGCGTCACTTGCGACCTGATCAAAAGCATTGCGCTATATCAGCGCACATTACCAATTCCGCCAAATTGTGGAAGACAAAACGAAAAATTGGCATTGTCCTTTAGCTGCACAACCACGTGGTATAAGCATAAGCCAGTGAATTACGAAGACAGTATAATTTGATTATATTTTCGGCACAGAAAGCATACGCCTTTGTCCTTTTATGAAAATAGTTTCGGCTGATTCAAACGAATTGCAAGCAAGCTTTAAAATATTCTCGACTTATGTTATCATAATACCAGACCTCATACCGGTATTGCGATGAATTCGGTAAGCAGCTATATCTATTCTAACGGACAACTGCCAATAACTTCAGGTAGACAGAACATTTACGCCTTCTCCTAGCTCATCATTTATGTCTTGGACATTACTAAAGCATTAGTTGCTGTCAAAATTAAGTAGCCAGCTTACTAGTTAAAAGCTCACTCACTTTGAGAAACATCCGCCAAACGATCGATCAATATCACATATATGTTCATTGTTTTGAACGAGTCTGATAAAAGATGAGACGTGCACACATCAGTTGCAAAAGAATTTAAATTGATCCATATATTCTGAAGCAGTTTTGGTTCTCATAGTGAAAAGTGAATTTGTAATGCCTTGTTGTGAACCAAAGGACATACTCTGTTTGCTCATTTTTAGGTCACTGATCTACCCTATAGCTTAGAACCGCAAAAATGCTGGAGAGAAATTGAGAAGTAATGTGTAGTTTTACCTATTAAATCCATTTGCTTTACTGATCGCTTAGCGGTACAATTGTGGTAGTTTTGTCAAGACTACTTATTGTAGTTCCTGTGGTTGGACCTACACTTAGTGTTTGGGAAGGTGAACAGCAGGTAGATGTAGATCGAGGTAGTTTCTTTAGACTGAAGTTGGCAGGGGGCTTGATGATTTGACAATAGAAATGAAAGCTCTTCAAGCATATTGCTACTCATTAGTTGTTACCTTATCATAAATGGAGCCCAACTATCCTTATGGAATAAGAACATTCATCTGGGTTGCATATATTTATAAGTACATATATACTTGATTATATATATATATATTAAGGATATCCGCAATAGCTAATGAAATGTTAATAATTTTAGCAGTTAGAAAGCAAAGTGCAATTGCACGCCCTGCACAGGGGCACTCTGATGAAAACAATATTTTGCTTATCCACTCTACAGTTGGACCGAATTTATTTACTCTATACATGACGTTCGATTGTTTATTTTTAACACTAATTTTGAACTGCTTCACTTTCATGAGCTAGACTATGTTCCAATCTACCACTGTGTTGTTCATAGTCTTTCAATTCTCAATATTTGATGGTGTGCTAATCTGTCTGCTTAAGAACCGTATGGGGCCTCGGTGAAATTCACCACATCAAATGGTTAATAATGACTACCGTTTTGCTAGTATAGTTGTGCAAATCAATACCAGTGGATCAGAGGTTCATATCCTCAGAGAACGGAGCAATTTTCAAGTAAATCATTTTTTAACTTTAACTTCACTCATGACTGGCTGTGCAGTTAAGCCCAAATTGCAGGGTAACGTTGACAAATATGAACAGTATGTGCAGTTGCATTTGCTTGCATCTGATTATTGTTGCTTACGTTTTGCTTAGTATGTGGAATACGCATAACAGCTTGCATTGAATGTCAATACTACTTAGCTGCACATACTCACTGCAACGATTCCGCTGCACTGGTTAAGTAGTGGTCACCGAATATTCTGAGTCCACTTACGTGTGTGAATTTCGTGATTGAGTCCAAGAAGGTTCTCCAGTAAAGAATGTTCTTCCATTGTTACTGTTCGGAGGAATTAAAGATACAGCGAAATGTAGGCTGTGGGTAACAACACAATTAAATCTGACAAACAAAAATTAACAAGCCGACGGTTTCATGCTCAACACTGATTCGAATGCGACGTATCCGGTTCATACGTTTTGCAGGTAAATGTTAGTTGCATTATTTATGTGATGGACTGCGTATCTAGCTGGGCTTTAATGACAGCATGTAATTCGAACGGAAATTGATATGAAGTACAGATCTCGTAATCCAAGCCTTAGTTAGTGTGCTATTTTAAATACGTTTTTGGAGAAATGCAATGCTATTCAGAGCACTTTGACATGCCCTGTGTATGCAATGGTTGTATGCACATTGTGTCAACAAGGCGTCGTCAATATTTGGTTCGCAATTTTGTGCAAACCTGGAGTGCGACTCTATTGCGCAACTAGGACGCAATGAGCCAAGCAAAATTAACAGTGCATAGACTGCGCCCCTACACAGGGCGCTCTCATAACAGCGAATTACAATGCTTAGTTGTTTCACTGTCTGGCGTATCCACGCTGCTTGAACACTTCGTGAAGCATATTCAACTTCAATGTTCCCGGTTTATTGTCTTCGTGGGGTACATACAGCACCCCATTTAAACTTTCGCCGAGGAGCGTCACTGATCTCTCAGTGGGTAACCAGGTTATATTTCGCTTACCTCTTCACATCACCACTAAACTAACGACTCTGACAAAACACTTGTTATTATGCAATCATCTTCAAGACTACAGCTGTGTGTCAGATTTTGAGTAACTACCACAAATGGAGATACGTCAGATGTTAGCACATTTAGTTATTTTGTTGCGGGTAAGCTAATCTCACTGATGCTTGGATGTGCAAGCCTGAATAGATTCTGGAATTGTGCACTGGTAACAAAGGTGGTATATTGTCTATAGGTATCCCTGTAATTGTTGTTCCGGTCACGAATTCCCTCAAGGAAAACGTTAACGCGGTTGATATCGCTAACCGTTGCACTTCGCGCGCGATGACTAGTTAATAAGTTACACCAAAGCCACCATAAGTTTAAATAAAACCGGAATGAAGCATACATAACTACGCGACCAGAATCGCCCGGTTTATCGTATATCTCTGTGGATTATTGTGGCCGCTTCAATCAAATTCTTTGTTTCGGGAAACTCGAAAGAAAGCGACTTTTGTTCTAATCACTTGAGTGTGCTTTCGAAACTGCTTTCAAGTCGGATAGTCCACGGAATGCCCAACACTGCACTAGTCGTCCGACTCTTTGCACTGCAAATTTCGTAAATTGCATGCCAGTGGAGGATGAGAAGTGCCATATCCCAGTTAGCTAGTAAATCAGGTCTGTCCAACGCCGTCCCCCATGGTTAAGCAGCGTAAGCTGGTGATTTATGATACAAGCCACTGGTGGTCATGGGTTCAATTCCTGATTAAGCCGATTAAGCCACTGAGTACACCCAACTGGCGGAAACGGTGGTCTAGCATTTTCAAAGCATGTGGAAGACTACCTGACTTGGAACCCACTGCGAAGAAATCCCACGCAATTATAAACAGATATCTCTTGTTGGAACCATGATCATTAATGGAATATAGCGTAGATATTAGAAGATATAGGTTGTTAAGACTGCGCTTCCTAGCTTTCAAAGGTGATAACTATTGATCTCGGGGACACCCTACCATACTGATTGTAAAAATAGACCCGAATCAAAAATGGGTTAAACGTAAGCCGTAAAAGACAAACATATTTTAGGCTATATATTTTCGATCTATTTTTCAGAACATAATGACAGATTAATTTGAGAAACGCGTCAGTTGTGAGCGGCAACTGTTAATCGAATATTAATCCTTTTCCATTATGCCAAAACCAACTACCTACTTATAAATTCTTTGACCCTAAAGCACTTATTTGTGAGGATAACATTAAAGGAGCTACATCTCAACACTTAGAAGAGCTGCTAAATGTTTTCCACTACTTTTAGAAACACCTTCGGGTCAAACAAATTCTTCTACTTCGGCTGCCGAAGTGACTAGTAAAATTTCGCCAAAATATTTGAAAATTTTATGTCTTACAAATTTGTGTCTTCCGGACATATCAAACTCACACTTTGTTTGGTTCACGAATTCAAATGCTGTAAGCAACAGAGTTTCCTGTCGTGCTAATACGCCTGTGGAATCAGAATGAAAGTGCAGCTGCGAATTAATTTTGAGGACCATTTCTTTCAACAACATTGAATCCTAAGTTGCCTTAAACGTTTGAATAAAAAAACCACAATGAGCTGGTCAAATCGTATTTGGGCCTGATGTATACACGGAGAAATGTATCACTACTTGTAATATCGCTGGTTACAAAGAATTTAAATTGACAGAATAACCATACATATAAACGTATTGAAGGAAGACAAAGAATGTGGGAAAAACGAGGTGATTCAAATCCTGACTAATCAAAAAAATGTTGTCACACGCGATAATAAACGATGTAAATTGAACAACTAACGCAGTGCACGCCGACTGTGAATTACTGTGTACACTTTTGGCGTCAGACAATGCAGACAGTTGAAACAAGTTTACCGTTTGAACTACCTCGAGTGTTATATTAGAAGATGAAATCTGTTCTGAATTTGGCGTTGGGAACTGTACTAAAATGTTGTACGTTCCAGTCGTAAGCTACTGCTTTGATAACATCAACGTTGATGTCTGTGAAAATTACGATTGACCACATGCATCTGTTTATGGCACTTTGACCTCCTAGCTGATTTCGTGTCATTTTATTCCACGTCCGAATATCTATCACGTTTTTGCGAAGAACAGTGTGATATCAGCAGATTGAAGAGCCAGCAATAATACGGAATTTCGCGTGCCATCCACATAAACACATAATTCGTGCTCATAGTTGTAAATAATTAACAGGTAGAAGCAACTGTTCGTGATAGGTTATAATCTCTGTTCTAAGGAACAACATAACTCATGGGCGAGAATCTGTTATTTTTAATTGCTTTGGTTGCTCAAATGCCGGTTTGTATTTTATGGTCATTCCCAATGATTGACTGAAGTTGGGGCCATGAAATATAATTGCAGCACATTTTATATATTGGCTCATTTCACTGAGCCATACCACCTCACACTGATCCACAAACACCTCATTGTATTCAACCGAGTGCTTCCAAGCACAGAACAGAACTCAACCAATCGTTCAGATGCTGTACAATGTTGTGGCTTACCTGTTATGTAGGATTCGATATACATCCGCAAACTCGACAACAATGTGCTCGTGTGTTCAGCAGCTAAAGAAAATTAAGCAAGATGATTATAAGCTTGGTCAGGTGGACTTTGGTGAAAGCACCACCACTAAGGGGAATAATTGAAGGCGTAATTTGGATACGGATGCGGGTTCATCAACTATGTCTAATAGAATAAATATTTTCTGAAACAAAATCAAGTAGCTGTGCAGTCGGAAAGCTATGCGTTTTGTTCACTGGTTTCCTGTCAGCTACTATTCCGTTGTCATCTCTCACCTGTATCCAATCAACGGTTAAAATACCACTGAGAGTTTTCTCTCAGCTTAAAGAGATCCCATCTAAAGAGTTCATAAGCAAATACTGAACCGCCAATTGATTTCGCCATTTAAGTTTATCCGCATAACATCAAATTATGTTTAATCACGGCAGCTAAACGTTGTGCATCACTTATATGACATTACAATTATTTATATCATTTAACGAAGACCAGTATTAGTTGCGTCACTGGACTCGCAAGCAATTTGCTATTTCTGCGTTTTTCAGTCGATTTGCTAAGACCTGCCCCATGAAATTCACTTTACCTTGGAGGTTGAAAGAACGACTCTGAGAATATGGATCACAGTTGATACGTAAGTGCAGCTAGTTGCTGGGATGGTTCATTCCTAGGGCAGTGTCAAAGGGCATGTGTTGTTAACTTGTAGTACAAAGAGAGCCTCCACGGTGAGTGAATTGTTGATGAGAAAGCATTACCACGCATACATAGTCTAAGTGGAGGTAGAAACCAGTCGGCATACTGAATGGCTCAAACTCGTCGCAACCTAAAGTCTAAGCGGGAAATAAGTCTGGGTAGTGACAGTTGACTAAGTGCAGGTTACGCGTACAAAATACGTAATCATATGCTGAAAACAAATAGTCTATAGAGTGTTATGTGTGAACTTGCGCATTCATTGGCGTTGTCCGCTAGACTTACACATATTCGGCGTTGTCAACGATGCCAATCTTTGTAGGAATACTTCCGTGAGTTCTTCGGATCCTGCAACATGCAACATAACAAAACATTCGGTAAGTTGACAGTGCTATTAATTTTGTTCCTTAGTGTAAATAGAACACTATGATTTCACGTATAATGCCCCCAATTTTACAGCAAGAATTTGTTATTTTAGAAAGTAAATGGTTGCAGGTTGACTAACAAATGCTAGCACTTTGTTTTATCCTTGTAGGAATATACATATTTATATGGAGAAATAATAAGAAGAATGTAGCGAAATTGCTGCGACCGAACTGTTCATTTCCACGACGCACATTGTGGAATAAAGTTTAACCTTAACAACGCTTTTGCTAGCATATGTTAGTATTTTGCCAAAAATGCATACAAACAATCTTCAGTTGTTTAGTTGCTATTTCAACCTTGATTCAATAGAGCACGTTTACTTGAATTGCATCAGCTTAAAATTTAGCCATTACTTTCTTAACAACTTGTCAAGTAATGATAAATGACCAGAAATTTTAAAGGAGCGTTTTGTAAGTTACTTAGCAAGTATTTTATGTACACAGGTTATTATCATTTAAGTATCGGTAGCATAAATTTTCAGTCTATTGTTCTCAAGAAATTCTGTGTGCATCTTTCGCAATATTGTAACCTGAAAGACTACCCTCAGTTATCTATTTTACAGAGGAGTGAAGTTGTGTCCAATTCTCGACACCAAATGCATCCGCAGTGCTTGCCACCAGATTTGTATAATCCTATAATCCATCCACAATTTGTTTAACATGAAAAGCATTTTTGTTAACCTTAGCAATCGAACAGTAGATTTTTAAACAACAAGCGAATGAGTTTAAGAAATGTCGCTCGATATTGCAGACAGATAAAGACTGTCAACTTTTGATTTGTATAGTTGTAGCCCGTTTGAAATCTCAGTAAATCTATAAGGGTCCGTGCAACTTCCGAACGTCAGCTTAGGTCCACTAACCCAGCGGTTAATCAAGCTAGATTTGCTTTACGTGTACATAAATTAAATAGTATCAATGGACTGTAGAATATAACCTATCAATTGATGAAAGTTTCAAAGAAAGTCAGCTTTCAGTAAATTGAATAGAATAAGTCCATACGGATCAGTTGTTTAATAGATAACTATTTGAAATTTTAGGTATATTACAAACTACGTCTGGCACTGTTCAAAGCATGTGGCTGCGATATCAATGTTCTCTTCATCGCATGACCTGTATGGAGTGTAGGCACCTGCGAGCAAATGCAGTATTTAAATGGCTCATTCGGATCGTAGTATTCTAATCTGGGTGAGAAATGAGGTATATTTGACTGCATAATTCAGCTATATACACTTGGATAAAACCAAATAATCATCCTCCTAAACCAAGCGCGGTATACATCTGACATATTTTGCAGTTCACATGGTAAAGCTAACATAGGATGACAAGTCGATCCAGGCTAGTTTCTCTGTAGCTTCGAATAGTTAGGCAAAGTTGGTAAGGTGAAAACATCAATGCAATTAAATTATTGAGCTGTCAGAATAAATTAACAGAATTTCAGTGTGAAAAGAAAGTTCGGTTAATCAATGGTTAACCAATGGTTAGTAGAACCAGGAAATTCCGAATGACCGAACTCTACTATCGATCACCATTAATCTTTTATTTATTTATTCTTGACGCGGATAACAGAGCAGTAACCGAAGAAAGTGCATCGGCATGTCTGGCCACAAGAATAGCATCCGCACTTGAAACAATAAAATGCAGACATCGGTTTAATCTGATCTCCCTTAATTCAAAGACATGCAGCAATAACTCTGAAGTTAACCAACTCCATATCCCGACCAATATCCTGTGTCGACTGTCTAGTTTCCGCTGCTGGAGCCTTCACCATGTAAACCATACGGATTTAGAACACTGTTTGTTAACCAAATAAATATGATAACCCGTGACCAAGTTAGAGATGTTTAACTATATATGTTCTTAGGCTTACCTTTGGCTACCTGCACCCAAGTTTGTAGCATGGCGTCGTAATCGGCAGAGTTAAATTGAGAATCTGAAAGGCAAAACGTGAAAACATTGGGGCGTCACATTTTTTCACTTTTCGCATTATAGAACAAGAGGATTGGAATTGGAAGTAGATGAAAATTTAGATACTAGCAAGTAGAACTACAGTCGAAATATCTCCATTTAACAAGACTTAGTTATTAGGTCTATCGGTCGTACTATACCAGATTGCTTTGAAATCCTTGGGATTCCATCCCTAAGGAGTACACCTCGTGCCGGCCAGCAACTACTGCAAGCAATGTGTAGTAGAATATCGATGGCAAAATACAAAAATCCTCCATTTACAAAGAAGACTTACTCGAATGTCGGCTGAGGATTTCAGCCACAGACTTGTAATTTTTGTTGTTGATTTCCTCCAACACTGGAAAAGCATTCGCAATGATAAATGTAATTAGTGGAGGCAAGAAAGTAGAAGTAACTGCGCATCGTTACTGTACTGCAGTCACACACGAGTTTCGTGTCGTCTAATATGAAGTAGCGGTATTGTACATATTCGTCCACTGGTTTTGCTAAATTAAACAGGGAGGAATTGATCAGCAATGGTATGTGACAACTTGAGGAACGCGGTTGAAACAGGTGTGACTTTAGTGATATTACTTCCTCTAGTATGCTCATGTGTATAGTATGTGGTAATAATATCTTTGTATTATTTTAGAAGCACAGAATGCGCGATTTCTGAGGCAGTAAACTTTGGAAATAAAGTTATATGAATGCTGGATGACAATGAAATATTCGGCATACATTAAATAGACTAGTGAAAAGAATGATGCGGCCGCAGCCTTGTTCTACAGAGGAACTCATCGCAATTTCACATAGGTTTATAGATGAGCATATGGTTCTCCACTGTACAAGTTATACAGGCAAGCAATTAAAACTGGCCCGGAAAACGGCAACTAGGACCTGTGGTCTGGACAAACGTGATGATTACAAGTAGATTGATGATATTTGGCCAAGAAAATTAGAAACTTTGAATTCTACGAGGCATTATATTCAGGGGAGTTAAAGAGAAATTTCTGGTACATAGCTCAAGTTGATTGGTGATCAGACCAACAACTTATCCTTCTTCCCTGCCATCGTCAGATAATATTTGTTTTTAAATGCGGTTTGGACACAAGAGCAAGAGAATAGTTTCAGTTTTGGTCTTACAGTGCAAAAGAACTACCATCTGACAAAAGGGAAACCTGACTCCAAAGTTAACTAAAAGTACAGCTTCTTATCTCGGCACAAAATCTTGCATTGCCGTGTGTTGGAATGACCATACAGATATAATATTGCAAGGACTTTTGATGGTTTTAATTCCTCTGCCGACATCAGGCAATCCCTATTGGTTGTGGACACGCCATTTTATTTCATGGGGCTCGACATGAAATACACAATTTTTCTCATGTAAATTAGATTTAATGTGAAAACATGGAGTACTTATTCGGAACATGGAAAGAAAAAGTAGCAAGTTCAGTCCTAAATGTGGTTCCCATGTGCGCATGTAATCAGCAGTGTACTCGCCTACCAGAAATTAATGTCATTCACGTTCCGGTTGACCAACACATTACGCCACAATGGGAGCTCATAAAAGCAGTGGGTCAAGCAGACCGCCTCATTGACTTGGCGCAGGAAGCGACCAACATATACATGATTTTCTTAAATGTTTGTAGAAGATGGCCAAGGTATACAATTTAAAAAGCTGACATGCATTCGGAGCCCTTATCTAAAGCTTTCAGATTATAAAAATTACACACTTCCAGATTATGAAGTTATGGTATGATGTTACTGGATTAAATATTCACGCTCGCTAGTTCAGTTATCACTGCAAGGAAAGCCTTCTGAGAAACGCGACAATTAGATGTTGTTAGAAACAAGCTGGTATGTACCTCATAGCCTAGAGTATAACAAATTCCGTTGTAATCCCATAACTTCAATTTGAAAGTGGGCTTATATCCTACATGATATATTGGCATAGCAGGTGATAACAATGTAGCCTGAATCGGCCGAGCTTGTCAATGACTGATTTACGGCATGTTAGGAAAATTACCATACGCCAGGAAAGAAAATATCTTTATGTGGGTGACAACGCCTTTATCTAAACGCCACTTGCTTACTGATTGCAACACCAGCGTGTGATGGAGCACAGAGTTACAAATAAAAGTTTGCCACATCAGCATGTACAAAGAAAAATATGAGTAAGTGTGGCAAATTAAATATCTGATATTGAGCAGGCGATATGTACACCGATCACGTTTCGTATGTTGAACTCACTTTTCACAAAGGAGCGGGCCCCATGTGTAAGCATTTTGATAGCGTCGTACAAGTAACCGGTTTCTAGGATTAGTAAAACAACAGGATACACAATATCAAAACATCCCGTTTCAGCAGTTTTCTAGTCACTCAGGCATACTTAGAGTAGAACATAGTTTAAAACATTCTGTCTAAATGCGCGACTAAAACCTGAAATGTTTGCGATGTGGATTTCAGTCCATGATGCAAGTTCATCTTCAACACGCAAGTTAATATTCTTGCCACAGCACAGTTATACGGTTGGCTGCGAACAGACATTCGGGCTGGTGCCCGACAATCACCTATGCATAATTATAATGGAATACACAAAACGTCACATGGCATAAATTTGTTGGTTGCATATGAAGCATTTCGACAGTAGATTAATTTGTTTTGGGCGCATCCAGTTTATTTGAAATTGGAAAGGATCAAAGTAAAAGTCAGCAGTGTATGCACTGAAAAATTATACGATGAACAAATTACTGCTCAGTCTGGTGCTACAGAATAGTATTCGTCAAGTAAAACTTGCTTATACAATAGGAAACCTTCGCATCTCCTGCGTGCCTTAGCTTACGCCTGAGGATGGGTAAAGTTCCTCAACAGACTTCATTTAATCAACACTGCGAACTCTCAGGATGGAGAAAAATGAGCATCTATTGTCTTATGCATTGGGTAGCTTAAGTAATATTCCCTTCATCAGTGAAATAACTAGTCACGTGAACATACCGTTGTGAGGCGTTAATGACTCTGAAATCAACAATACACGAGCAAAAGATTACACAAAGCATGTGCCATAGGTAATGGAATCATTACTAACTTGGCAATACATCTTTCCATCTCTACAATTATGTTTTGATTACAGTAAAACTTAGTAGTTAACATTAACCGACAAATGGTATGCTTGACCAAAAACGATGTTATTCCATTGGTTATTTATTTACGCAGATGATACTAGTTTCATCGGTATTTTATTTTCATGAATGGCGTAAAGAAAATTTATTTTACGCGTTTCATAGGACTATGTTTGGATGAGAAACAGCTTACAGATAGGGTAATTAACCGGTCGCTATCTATCACGTTCATTTCTCTGAGAATGGCAATAGAAGACTCGCATATATGCAGCACACGGTTAATTGAATTTATTAAGGCCTATTCCAGACCTTATCACTTTAATTTTGTGTACATACATATCTCAGTCGTTATACCGCTGACAAGCAATTTCAGATTGTAACTATATTGCTGTCTTTGCTGTTTAGTTGCTTCGATGCATATGCCTTTTACGACGCGGAAAGCATTTGGAATTGCTGTTGGCAAAATATGTAACGCAGTCTGTTTGAATTTGCGCAGATCCATCGGTGCGTTGAGCTACACATTATGCACCGTCATGCTTGGTGTTAATTGCGCCATCAACATGGGAACAGAAGACCAGTTTGATGTTTAGCTCGAACTTACCGCTCTTTTTGGGCTGGTTAGTGATGCTGCTGTCTGCATGGGTGACGAAGAAAAAGCGGTGTTTTTAGAATCGAATTGTCGCGAGAAATACACATTTGCTACTGCGAACAATAAGCAAATGCGAGTGTTGCATTCCGCCGAAATAAAGAAACAGTTACATAACATCTATACTAAGAAAAAAATCAGGCAATGTGCGCTTAAGTTGAAGCGGCTTGCATAGCTCATTGCTACATTCTTGTAGGAGATCTACCACAATAGCAGTTAGAGAGACAAGCATCAAAAATTCCAAATGGTGCAGGACAGATATGCCATCAATCTGCGAATCATCAGCAATGCGCATCCGGTATCTTACAAGTGATGTTAGAACTGGCAACACTACTATCACAAGCCGCAGTATGATGTTCCTCGCGTTATCTCCTACAGGATTTAGAACCTGCAATAATAACCGTGCAATTTAGTTCGCCCATAAGCCTCTTGACATGTACTGTTTAAGTCTAGACGACAATGACGAATGTAGCGTTTCTGATGACAACTCAGATTTCTGGTACAAGTTGAGCGGAATATATGTTTCCAGTGTTGAGTACTTTACATTCTGTGCATCTCATCCGGTTCGATATTTTGCACAGGGACTGCCTCAATTTACCCCTCCATCATGCATGCGAATCAAGAAGTTCGGGGACGCCGTACAGTCAATAATTAGAAAACAAAGAGCAAATGATTATTCGACTTTTAACATAGGGGCACGTATTGTGGGTACGTGTTGTGGCGTCAATTTTGCACTCTAAGTTACACGATGCATCACTCCACTATGCGTGATGTCCGTTACGTAATGTAGTGAAAGCATATAAACTGCTAGGTAAGTTGTCTGTTCAACTTAAATCTGATAAAGCAACTTTAACAAACTACTAGGTAACCTGTACTATTTGCGATGGTAAAAGGTTACCCTGATCGCTAAACGTCTTTAGGACGACTCCGTATTCAATTCTTAGATAAAGAGTAGGGAACAGAATTGTAAGAGCTAATTCGGTGACCCAAACCTGCGCCTCTTAATTGATCCGCCTTGGTTCCTTACTCACATTTACAGAGGGTGAATGAAGCCGAGGATCATATTTGCATTAGGATATTATGCATGTTCTACCGAAGTCTTGGAGCATGGAATGGCCATTAGTCTGAGTAGTTTCAAAGCTTATCAGTTAAACTGTTTAAATATTTACACCGAAAATCGGGAATGCTGAGCAAAACCTTCAGCAGATAGTGAGATTAAGGGAGCCCATGGCAGTCGGAAAATCAATTCGACATGAATCTGCTGTCCGCATTATGGTAAACCTACTTCTATTTAGAGGGATTTGTGTGGGTGCCGTTACTTGGGAAACACAAGAGCGAAGATGCAAAAGTTGCGTTACTCTTGTGTTAAAATATTAAAGATGAAATTTGTTTAACACAACAACGTTATAATATATGGGACTTGAATGTTTAGCCGTCACAACCTATATCAGGTAAAACTACTTCTAATATAAGCAGTCCAAAGCAATGTTAACCTGCATGTTGTTTGATCAATTTGAATGCCGAATCAATTAAATCAATGTAATCTTCCAAACAAGAGCACAAATTGTTTCATTTATGCATAGTCAACACAAGTTAAAACGTGTATAATATAACCTTGCCATGCGAACTAATTTATTGGCAACCAGTGATGTATGCATCAGAGAAATCGCTCAAATCAGGTTTTAGAATTCTGGCTAAAATGGAGAAGTGATTGCGATTGTTAATTTCACTTTAACTATACGTTAAAATGTCCAGCTGAATTTACACTTGTCGTCGTGTAGCTATGTGGGAGTTGTAGTAAATATCCTACTCGCTTCAAAACAGCCTGCTTAATGAGGCATTCAGTTTGCGTTTCCCCATGTAATGGTTTACCATGATTGCAAATAATTATCATCCCAATTACCTACAATTACAGTGCATATCCCTGATACGCGTCAAGCACTGAACGTTACGTTGCCGATAGCAAATGTAATCCTCACTGCTAGTCACCATTGGATCAGCAATGTTGCTGACACAAGGTTCACTGCGCTGGTCTCTTTCATGTGTACAGCTATGTCAAAGCAATCAGCGATTTGCAAATTTGAGAACCATTTCGACTGCAAGGTGATTTTATCCCATTTGGTAAAATACCGAAATCAAAGCAACGGTTCACTCCTACTAATCGTTCTTAATTTGATATAACCGATTGTGAACGCGAATATATCAGATTGGAATCAGTATTTAGTTTTACTGTTCAAAGACTGAGGCAGTTTTCATGATACACGAGTTAGATGTGAGCGTGAATTCCTCACATCCCTTGTATTGGGCGCGCAATTTGATCGTTTCTCGCACTTCTGTGACGAGAACCAGCAACTTTTACACCACGTTACGGTGGCTAATGAAGCAGTCAGAGATCATTCAATCGAAGCTTTGGGAAGCATTGTTGTACTGATAGTATAAGGCGGCAGCGATTTGTCTCACTACGTACAACGTATGTCGTGCTTATTTTTAATGCTGTTTACGCCCTGACTTGCACAATGTCGGACACAGGATAGGGAATTAGGTTGGATAGATTACAAGGCTTTGTTCTACATCAGCTAGTGAACCGCCTGTTGACAGCGGAGGTCCACATTAATGATATTACCCGTAGTAATCAGATGAGTTCAAAATCGACCTGCAACTTCATGGCTTTTCCATAAGCACAGCTGCAAGTTCTGTCGTTTACTAAATGTGAAATTTTACGTAATCGTTACCAAATACCGAGCAGTCCCCTTGTGGATTCTATGAAAATTCTGTTCGAAGAAATGGCTTGCTTTTTTGATTGCTGTGCTAGTGTTCATATTTTGAATGTTGGAGTCCATACAGGCCATTGTCTCCTTCTTTATGTTCCGCACGGCTTCAAACACATTTTGCGCAACTAATTAGGCAGAGAAATGCTTCCAGAGATATGCTTTAATTTCATGGATTCTGCTCGTAACCCAAGAGGTCCAACAATGAACGCCCACAGCCACATGGTCGTCCACACTGGTTCAGCTTCCATATAAAACTCAAACAGAACACATTATACTCTCCAATGACAAGTCATTTGCTCAGCATCTGAGTGATTCTGAAGGCACGATATCAACTCAGGATAATTCTACATCCATGTTAGTATTGCTGGCTGTAATGACTAAATCGAAGCATCAAATGACTGAGGCACTTTAGTAAACAACAGGCATGTAGATTCGCATAATAAATAGCAAGATTTTACTGCAAACCAAGTCAAGCCTACTGTAGCCGAGGTCAATCGCTGCGCTATGCTACAAAGTGTGTGTCGTCATACTTGATGTTACTTGGATCATCCATATTGGAATACAAGTGTGGTATAACAGTCAAATTGAACTCACCGTTCGTTTTGAGCTGATTGGTGTTACTGCTGTCTGCATGGGTGACAGAGGAAAAAGGTTTTGTCAATCGACTCGAATTGCTGCCGCTAACAAGCAAATGCTAATCCTGTATCCCAGTTACTGAAAATGCTCATACGAATAAATGACTTATGAGTCAGTAGTAACAACGCATGTAATACAGCAGTGCGCACCCGGTAGGTGACAATGGATGTTAGAACCGGTAGCGCTAGCCTAACGAGCCGGGGTTTAGTGTCTCTTGTATTATTTCTTCTAAAGATTATAAACCGAGTTACAACGTAATTTAGCGTGCTTATAAGCCCCTTGACAATCATTACTGAATTCCAAACAATATAACTGGCTTCTGCTCACAAACCAGGTTGCTGGTACAAGTTCAGCGAAGAATATACGTTTACAGTTTTTAGTAGATTGTAATACATGCATCTCATCCGATTTAAACATCCGCGCAAAGACTACCTCACGTGTCACCCACCAATATTTATGCGAATCATCAGGTTCAGGGACGCGGAATTCCGATTTATTCTTAGTAGGCTGTTTGTTCTCAGTAAATCAGATTAAACGACCTTAACCAACTACGAGGCAAGCTGTAATATTTTCGACGGTAAACGAGAACCCATATGCCTAATGTCTTTACGATTCCTTCTCAGTTTATTTCTGGAGAAACTTTCGTAAACATATATATAGCACATGTCTCATTGCCTCTCCAATTTCATTTGCGTTGGTCCTGTAGAACATTTACTAAGGAAGAATTAGTCTAAATAGAGGATAAGATTTGCCATGTGCATAGATCCTTATGCACATTAAATGAAACGAACAACGGTTGTGTCTCTTTTTCTATGAATATCATGTTTTTCTACATGAAAGCTGCCGTTTTGCATTTATTCTTTTATTTTATTTTGGGAATACATATTTCATCATTATTTGTGAATCAGACGATGTAATAACTGCGCATGTCTAGTCGTTACATCACCGAAGAGTGCATCATACTTTTTATGGTTAGTAAGGTTTTTGTTTCAACTTCTTCTTTTTGTGATTCAGTCATTGTTTGAGATAGACGTGACTCCCAGAAGGCGCATGAAGATCGTGACCTTGCACGAACACACAGACAATATCTACAGGGACATATCAAGAATAGTAGGCGTCAGTCCGGCAACCGTCAGCCGTGTGGTCAAAAAGAAAAAGGAAACGGGATGCATTTCGCCAAAACGCAAAGGGAAATGTGGTCCTAAGAGGAAAACCACTGCCAGGGATGACGCTTACCTAATACGGGAAAGTGTTAAAGATCCTCGAAAGGCTAGTGACGCATTAAAACGTGATTTGGGGAAGAAAGGAATGGAAATCAGTTCTTCAGCGGGATCTGGCCCCGTGCCACACATCAAAAATTGTCAAGACTTTTTCAATATTAATCAAATATCCATCTTGGACTGACCTGTGAATTCACCAGATGTAAACCCATTGAAAATATGTGGTCTATTTGCAAGAAACGCCTTCGTGGCATGGACTGTACGACAAAGGAGAAACTTACTCAAGCTTTAATTCAAGTTTGGTACAGGGACCCAAGATGTTGAAATACCCCAGATCCGTCAGGAAATGTCTTTTTTAGTTCTGGAACAGCTCTTCTTTGGAGAACTTCAGTATATTGTGGAGAGCGCATCATGCCCTGGACTGGACGCAAGTCACCGACGCCGTAATAACTAAAGCACCCCCAAAACATCTGCTTTTGTGAGTGTTTCACAAAGTGGTCAATGTGGGAATCACGAACCTTTTCTCCCTCTGACCTCCGAACATACTGACTTCTCTGACCATGAACACAGAAATGGCTTTCATCGCTGAATAGTACTTTTCTCTAATCCTCTTTTGTCCAGTTTTTGTATTTTAGTCCCCATTTGTAAAGCTTAACTTTCATTACTTTTGTCAGAAGTTGTTTTTCCACAGGCCGTCTGGCTTTCCGAACAACTTCCTGGAGTCGCCTGCGAACCGTTGAAGAACTGATTTCCATTCCTTTCTTCCCCAAATCACGTTTTATTGCGACACTAGCCTTTCGAGGATCTTTAACGCTTTCCCGTATTAGGTAAGCGTCATCCCTGGCAGTGGTTTTCCTCTTAGGACCACATTTCCCTTTGCGTTTTGGCGAAATGCATCCCGTTTCCTTTTTCTTTTTGACCACACGGCTGACGGTTGCCGGACTGACGCCTACTATTCTTGATATGTCCCTGTAGATATTGTCTGTGTGTTCGTGCAAGGTCACGATCTTCATGCGCCTTCTGGGAGTCACGTCTATCTCAAACAATGACTGAATCACAAAAAGAAGAAGTTGAAACAAAAACCTTACTAACCATAAAAAGTATGATGCACTCTTCGGTGATGTAACGACTAGACATGCGCAGTTATTACATCGTCTGATTCACAAATAATGATGAAATATGTATTCCCAAAATAAAATAGAAGAATAAATGCAAAACGGCAGCTTTCATGTATAAAAACATGATATTCATAGAAAAAGAGACACAACCGTTGTTCGTTTCAATTAATGTGCACAAGAGTGCACATGCATGTTCTACCAGTCATGGAGCATGTGGTTTATATTGGTTAGAGTAAATTCGAAGCTCTTCAATGACACTTGTTTTGATTTTGTCTCACAAATGTTTGCATGACGGATAAAACCTTTGCTAATTAATGAGATTGGCAGAAGCGGCTGCAGTTCAGATTGTGTGAAACTTACTTCTCTCTCGGGGGATTTGTGTGGCCTCCACTTATGTGGAAACAAAGGTATGAGGATAGGAATTTTGGATTAATCTTGGGTTATTGTTTACAAAACATGCTCAGTGGGAACAGAAACGTCAGAAATAATTGATGTGATTTTTTGTCAATCGTAGCGTATGTGCAGCCCAATTAAGCAATCCGGTTCACTGGTAAGAATAACACCAGTTTTTAATATCATGGCAAATGCTTAATTATACCATTTGAAAACAGCGCAAACTCGTTATCTTACGCATTTCTAAAGTAGATTAAGACATTTCTAAACTTAACGACTCCATGCAAACTGGTTTAATATGAGCAAGTCATTTGCTTACTACAGACACTGCCAAAACCAGAGTAAAAATCCGCAGATTGTAGGAAAATATACCGCCATTTTCTATTTCACTATGACAACTACACATTTAGGTATCTGGGAGTGACTGAAATCTTCGTCCTACATCTTTGCGGTAGTCGTTATAATCATTTGGCATTACTCTTATTAAAGACGTACTGACTCTTATAATAACGTTTCGACATCCTTTGTCTAATAAGGTATTTGTTGGCATTTACCCTAAGGAATATTTCCTACCAATTCAATTATTGACATCCAATTTAACTGCAAACACAATGAATACCTCAAATATGCATCAAGCATTGCACACTGTGTCGACTAGCCAAAAGTGACCATCACCATTATCAGAGATAGCTGCTACCATACATTGCATCAAGACCGCTGCTGACGCGAGGCTCATTGCACAAGTCTCTATTAAGATAGTTCGTAAAGTAGCGGCTGTACTACTCATAAGCAAATGACGAAGAAATCAGGCGATTTTGACAGCTTCGGTGAAACAAACGAAGCAAGTTCTGGATAATGAAGCATATTTATAAAATCTGATCCGAGCTGTATCCAGTGCCACCGGAACGCTAGTTGCTACCTGCGGAGGAAGCTGGAGTTCTGTGCTAGCGCGTATGTTCAGATGGTTAGGGCTGCTAGTCTGTGTCGCGTTGAACTATCCTTGACAAGCGTTCCTTTATTTCGGAAATCAGAGCACTCTCGGCTCTGTTTATATAAATTGCTCCGCAACCACACACAAATTGGCAGTTGCAGTGCGTCATTTCCGATTGGTTGTAACTCCAGTAATTAATAGCCACAAATGAAACGACTGTTAAATTCTCTGAGTGTCAGAGAGTAAACGCTTAGGAATGTTCAGCATTGCAAAGTCAGACCTCAAATGCAACTAGATATAGAGCATGATTTGGCCATCATTGTACCATATATTCAAGCCCCGATGCTGGCTGTAATTCTACTAGACTATGCACCGTATATATATTCGTATATATATTCCTCTTTTACTCTGGCTGGTGGCCAGAACATTGGCCCAGCGAACTCTCCATGGTTTGTAAACTAAATTGCCTAAAACCATCCCATTGGATCTCATTAATGAGAATTATGCAAGTATGCATCAGAACATATTTCGCTGTAGATAGACCACATAATGCGTCCAGCATGTCTTCGGATAACAGGAATGCTAAATAATGGGTACAGTTCTTCTGTTTTGCTCCGCAGGTAAGCCGCGAGATATTGTGACGTCGTAAATATGTTCCACAATTTTTGAAGAATCTACGCAGCTATCTTCATGCAGACAGCTACCAAAAATCCAGGAAAGCGCTAGACAGACGTTTCTTACTATTGGGATTGGTCAGGTGCGTGTTCTCAACTCACCGCTTAAGAGGAGTTATCACTTTCTTCGTTTTGTACTAACCGACGAAACCACTAAAACGTACTTCATACCTCACCGTACACACTTCTCACATAACGATAGACCACTGGTACATTTTATGCCATAGCGACACTGAGTATATATAACGAGTCATGTGGCAAAGTGTGAAGTGTTAATTATTCACAACCGGTATAACCGGTTACTAATAGACGTATTTAGTGCGCTAATCACATGGATTTTTGATGCTTATGAAAAGTGAATGGGGCGTGGAACATTATAATCTAATTCCATTCATCGTGTGAGCAACGCCCGTGTGGAAGCACGCAGCATCGCCTGTACATGGTCCGGGTGAACCAGTGGTTGCCCACACATATCCTAAGGCTTTCTCACATGTTGCGGAATCCTTACGCGTAGCATAGCAGTCAAGCGAACCGAAACTGCTGCAGTCATGCTGCGCGAATAAACCCGTGTTGTGACACCGTAGTATGTCTCCGAAAACAGTGTCACACCAAACGAAAAATCTGGAGCAATTACTGCCTCAATATGAGTACAAGTACTCCTAATCAATCATTTAGCCAGCGCAAAAGCTGAGTAACTGGAGCACATAAGGAACAATCCATAGTTTGCTGACAATTCTCTTCTATGCTACTATCACTTTCGGTCTTAGAATAAACATCGGATTTAATGCATACTTAATAGCCATTTCTCCGTGGACAGTGTCGTACGAAGGCAAAGTCTAAAACAGACGTTGGGGAGAAAGCACATGATAAACGACTGCAACCAGTAATGAGATGCTCGTAAAAGATCCGTAAATTGTCAGTTACGTCGGACTGTTTAGTAGGACATCGGAGATATAGCGAACAACCGTCGTTGTTTAGGCAGCCTAATATTTCAATAATTGGTGCAGAAATATTTTCAATCGTTGGGTGCGATGATTTTGGGATACGAATGTTGCTTAGTTCATTTAACTAGCGGGGTGCGCTTTTTAAACTTAAGCTATCACAAAGTGAGCATTTCCTCTGGTGTAAGGGCTGAACCACAGATATGCAGACCGAAAGCAAATCACTGTTATTTTCATCGACATGAAAATGCAATGTATGGGCACTTCGCCTTGCAACCACAAGTGTAACCATGCATTGAGAAAGTCAGCTCGACTGGTGACAAAATGTTGGCAAGCAAATTGCCTAGATTAGCGAATACCACAGCGACTGCTAAAATAATGTCTTAGATAGTTCCGGTTAAGTGAATTCGCACGTAGTTTTCTCACAACATGTAATGCCAAGTGCAACAATTAGCAATGTGAAGATCCGTAATGTTAAGTGTAGCGGACACAGCTAATGGCAAGAACAAAATAATCAGTTATCTACTTTGAATTATCTGGATTTCCTTGCATGCGAAATAGTGAAACGATGATGAATGAATGAAAAAATAATATGAATTTTTAGGTTAACGGAAAAGGTGGGCTGTAACTCCGAGATGATTAGAAACTAGACGTATTATGACTGCTAGTTATGTTTTCAAATGGGAAGTAAAAGGCGGTTACTATATGTACTTAAATTACTTTTATCTGCGTAGCCAGGTTCATCCTCTAAATGTCCCAGTGTCACATTGTTAACGATATTTACGTCAGAATGCCTTCCTTTACCCGTTATCCGCAACCGATTTTATGGCGTCTTTCCTCCCTGTATCATTGTGTAGTTGCTTAACTAATTTGTCGCCGGTGTCATACAACTCATTTTGCGCGTTGCATTCTGTTTAGCACAAGCGAAGATGTGCATGTAGCATTGCAAGCTGCGGACTTACAACGGCATGTTGTCAAGTCAACGCAACAAAAATGCCACTTGCGGAGGGTTTCGGTGTGGCGCTCTCCCATCCATGCACTCTACGACCGATGGTTTCGTTTTTTGTTTAGATTCATCAGGTAGAGATAGCCGAGCTGGGATTGGAACTTGGCGCGTAATGCTTGGCGGCCATCGCCAGGATCACTAGGCCATTGAGCTCCGCGAGCTGTGTTCGACACAGTGGTTAGAAGTAGCTCTTCGGGGTATTTGGAGCACCCGAAGAATGCCCCTTAGTTAACGGATTGTGTAAGTTAGGAAATCACATAAAAGGGCATGTACAAACCTACGGCATCCAAATTTAAGCCGTTTCAACAGAGTTACTATGACATCAGAACCAGTACTTATACTGTGTGGACAAAATGTACCGCAGCATTCTGCAGCGTGAATCACTTGCACATATTCCGATCGGATTCGTTTATATCCATCAAAAAGCTAAGATGTCGACCACAAACAAGTCTGGCCAGTCTCAATGGGGATTGCACAAATACGCATACCCAGTGTTTATTGAATGCTCAGAGGTACAGGTAATCCCGATCTTCTAGAAAATTTAATTCGTGTTAATAGGCTTTTCTTCGAATAAAAAGCTATACTTCGGTTTTATCCAGGCGGATTCGCCCTCCAAACTTCAAGGTTGTATTGAAGTACCTGTGGTTCTCCAACGTCACCAAATATGAGCACATTGTTCATTTTGTAAGTGCAGCTCAGTGTTCAGCGTATACATGTAGGAGTTAGATTACATTGGAAGGACCTCACTCAGTAGCGTACGTAGGAAGTGACAGGACGTGTTGCCAAGTTTAAACAGCGAAATTAAACCATGGCATTACAGGGATATTCTCTCAGATCACTAGATTAATTTTGTTGGATAATGAACTTGGCAAAAGCCAGGAAACCTTTAAGATACATGGAACAGTTGTGTTATCCTGATTAGGCAAACATTACACAACAAGTACTGTGTGATCAACAGAATTAACCAGAAATCTGTGAGAAGAAAACACAGTAATATAATGAAAAGTTTCCATGGGCTAACCAGTGTTCACGCAGAGGCATGAAGGTGAATAAAAATGCCGACATCGATATGTAGAGTAAAGCTGGTTGTGCAACATTGGTCACATAACAACGTTTGTCGACGTACCAAAGAAACATATGATAAGGTAGCTGGGTTAGTCAAAGTTAAGGCTTTATTAACACTAATATATTGATGGCGTTAATAACATAAGTTGGGTAGACGTTCCGTGTCTAGCAGACGCTTAGTGAGTCAAAGCTTCGCCGAAATTTTAGCCGACGTTACTGATTATAAACTCGAACTGATGTCCCTCAAACCGGTATTGTAACTGCATTATCTTAGGTGGCGGCAGACGTGGTTTGAATTCTAAAATCGGG